CCATGCTTGATAAGATTTTTGTAGGAAAACAGCTCTTGTGAAGTAATATCAAGTAAGGCGAATGTTAAAGACTATAGTTAACCCTTTCGCGCCGACTGTCACAAATACGTGCCAGCATAAAACCGTATCAACCAGGGTAAAAAGATAAAACTGGTAATTAAAGTAATTCTTTAGCAGTTTATTTGTGGGCGGAGTTATAATTGTTTGATTTATTTAACTCACCATTACTTTGCTCAAAATAAAACTATTTAGTTATACTTTGAATTAACATTGATTATATATATGACTAAACAAACAATAATTGAAGTAAAAGCAAAGTAAGTCTGTCAAATCAGAAACGACTACATTTAAGTTACCGTCTTTTACTTAATTAGAACTTGATTCTGATTTTGTACGAATGCTTTTCTGAATCACCCGTCCCCAAGAGGTTAATGTTACTCAGTCGCAATTTTACCAATGAATGACTTCGGTAATAATACGTCTAACTCCGCCAGTATATTAACTGGGCGTATCTTTACCTTATGCGGTTAAATCTGATGACACAAATCTCATCATAACTACTGAGTAGGATGCCCGAGCTCTATATATATAAATAATACCGTTTGTAATTGTTTGAATAAGAGCTTCTCAGAATCAGAAAACTCATAAAATATGATTTATTTTAATTACTGGTAGAATTGTGTTCACTTACAAGTTCTATTTCTTATATTTTTAAGATATAGACAACTTGATTACTGACAGAGATGCCAACTTGCTCCGGACAGCAAATATATTTTTTAAAGTGGTAGTTTATAAATTGTGTTTCTTAGTTCAATAAATTCAATTTAGTGGATTTTTATCCACCACTATTTCCAAATAATTTGTAGGCTTATATAATTCAACACTTTATAGTACTTATGTCATGCTATACCATTTAAAATGCAAGCAAAAATAGTCAAATATTCGCAAAATTTTCTTTGAAGTTGCTTACCATTTTTTTTAATTATTTCGGCGTCTCCGGAGCAGTTGGCATCTCTGCTGTGAAACAGAGAAATAGAAGACTCGAAAAATATTTTTTGCTTTAATTACTAGTAAAATTGTTTTCTTATATTTGTAATGTTTATACAAATAATTACACTCGGGAACAAATTTATAGCATTTATGCACAATTTTGATTTTACCTAATTCGGGTGAGGGGATTGTGTCCCCCAGTGTTATCTTGTATCAAACGGCGTGTAAACAAATTTTTTTTTCCTAATTTTAGCGAAATATAAATTTTTAAGTTTTTCAACCTTTTCAAACAGGGACAATTAAAGCAGCCGACCCAAGCAAAAGTGTTACAGATTGATGGCAATTTACTTCTAAAAAGACAATAGAAATGTGTAATTTTCACGCACACTGTTCACGTCATAAAAGAATGTTTAGAGGGATAAATTTTCAGAATAAAATATATTTAAAAATAAATACAAAATAAATTCTTCTTCTTCTGAGGTTACTGAAATATCTTTCAAAATGTTGCCTTTTGATGAAACTAAGTCCTTTTAATTACAACAACAAAGGATTTGTGCTTGGAATTTAAATAAATATAGAAAATTATCAGAATAGGATTTTTTTCTTTTTCATTTACTGGTACAAACGATTTTTTCTGGTTACTCATGTTTTTTTCTACATAATTAAACTCGGGAACTTGAACTTGGAAGTACTTGTCCTTGCATATTTCGTTTGCGAGGTTTGTATATTGAATGTTAATTTCGTTCGGAAAAATACAGATGTATATCAAAAAAATTTTTTGTTTAGTTATTTGACTTAATATTTAGAAACAAATAACGTTAAAATATCGCGTCTTAAATTGAAATATATTATCACCTTCTTCCTTGCATTCCCTACTTACTACAAAAATGAAGAAACTTAGTATTCACACGAAGGAATTTAAAAAAATGTCCTGGCTTGGAATTCAATGAGACATAGGGCTCCACTTAACAAGTGGTTCATATTTACAAGGAAAAAAAACAAGCAGCTGATGCTATGTTCGGATCATGATTAAAATAAAATTGTTTTCAATGAACTCTGTTGAATGATTTAAATCGACAACATTTTGATTGCTTACAGTTAATACATTTACATTGATACATCACCTGCTTATCCCGACTGGCCAGTGGACACTTGAAAAGTCTCACATTTTCTGCACATCAAAAGATCTTTCCTCTTTGCCCTAAATGCCAGCAAAACCAGGCATCACCTGAGCACATCTTGAACTGTTTAGGGCTGGACTGGAACGACATTCATTCCTCTCCCATTCTGGTTTCGGATTTTCTTTATATCAACGGATTCATTGATCTGGTCTGACCCCGTCAGACCAGATGAGAATTAGCAACAACATTGATACATTAACTTTAACACTAATCTACTATTCCCAGAGATGTCGACTTGCTCCATTTTGTAAAAATGTATTTTCTTGTAATAACGAAATTTATGTTATTCTCAGTTTAGTATTTTTTATTTTGAGTATTCTTTCTACAAAAAATCAGATCAAAAATGCAACTTTACAGTATTTATTTCGTGGCTACTCTTTTAAAGAGTGGGCGTAATTATTCTTAAATCATTTCTATTTAATGTGATACCAATTTCTTAAAACATTGGCTAAAAGAGAAGCAGTATGCATCACTGGGTTGTTTATTGAGAAAATATTCGATATTTTATGAGTGACAATATAATATAACAATTAAAATAAAAAACATTTGATCTTTACATTGTATTATCGTTATTTAAAATCCAGTGCCACTCCCTGCTTGAGAAGCTTGTCGTAGGAAAACAGTTCTTGTGAAGCAATATCAAATTAAATAGTAAGGCCAATGTTAAAGACAATAGTTAATATAAATCAGCCGCAATATTACTTAGTAATGACTTCAGTAACAATAAGTCATAATCCGCTAGTAATTTAACTAGGCGGATCTTTAAATTATGCGGTTACATCTGATGACGCGATTGTCATAAATTCGCTCCTTTACTACATCATGTACATGCAACTCAGACTCAGGCATCATAACTACATGCTAAGAAAAGAATACATGAGGATATCAATCGCAGTTTATTAAATAACGCAAAAACAATAGTATTAGAATATTAGTGGTAGATTAAGAATGGCTTTTTTTAAAAAATATTTTTCGTTTCATTATAATATGACAGAATAGCTAGTAATTTGTTACGCTTTATAAATGAGTATTTTTTAGCGGAAAATATATCAAATTCAACTTTATTTCAGCTATCACATTGTGTCACTTTAAAAAAAGTATGCTTATTTATCCTTATTCTCCAAGTTTAACTATGTATAATTAGTTATTAGCAATTTATTAAAAATAATGCAGAAAGCGGAGCATGGGGCATCTCTGAGATTGCAACTGGAACGAGACTTTAAATGAATGTAAACTCATAGAGCTTATAGCAATCTATGTTTCAGAGGTAATGGTGAATCGTTTAATTCGTCTAAAAGAAAATGAGTCTTAGAGAGGAAGAAAAATTATTTTATATTCTCTCAGATATGCGACAGAGGACAAAAAATTTAAAAAGTGATAGAAACTCAATTCATTTCTATTTATTTGAATGACCGTTGTTGAACAGTTGACGCAATTTGTTAAGTTTAAAACTGTTAATATTCAACTATGTAGCCTTATAAGTTTGAACTCAATCTTGAAGACAATTGAACTTCTGGATCAAGTATTGGGAGAAATTTGCCTTCGTAGAGGACTTGCTGATATAACTTCCCCGCACTTGCGTTACATAGGGAGAAAAGCGACGAGAACTTGCCATGATTACCCCGATGGTTCAGAGTTTCTAACCCATGATCCGACTATCACTGAGGATTTTTTACGTCAGCACTGTAGTCGGAGAAATTCGGGTACGGATTTCGAATGGATTAGACATCCCTGCGATTTGAACGCGGTTCTCCTTTTTGGAAGGCGAACGCTCTATTCCCTGAGTCACCATGGCTCATTTTTCTTTACTTCCGTTTAACAGTCCACCCGACTTTTAGGGCCTGCGGCTACTAATATTCAACTATGTGGCATTGAAATTTTGAACGGAATATAGTGATTTTGTTTTTCAATAATTTAATTGTAGATTTTAGGAGTGGCAGCAACTGGTAATAAAGTAACGCCTACTTTCTAATTTAAGTGCGAACATTTTAACAGTATTAACATGACGATGTAAGGAAAATATACAGTTTCCTCTTAAAATGCATCAAAATTCCAAGAGATTTGCTTCTTCTTAATACTTTAATTTATGCTTTAGAAGAAACTTTTTTTAAAACTTTCGATAAAAAGGATATCTCCAAACCCCATTTGCTAAGAAAGTTATTACGCCCGTAAGAAAATTGATATAGCAATAGCAGTTTTCGGTAAAACGGCTGTATTAGGCAAGAAATGATTTGATTTAAATTTCAGTAGCTGTTGGTCACGCTGTTCACTAATTTTAATCTACCCGTCTTATTCTCAGACTAAAGGCTGGGACACACCTGTCATGCAGCGTTCCGATCCGACTCATACCCGACTTTCTTTAAAAAGTGTGACCGGTGCGGGATCGGAAAGGAATGAGCACATGTTTCATGTTCACAACCTGCTTCTTTCCGATTTTACGTTAGTTCAACTCGAGATCGCAAACAACCGTGGAACTGTGCAATAATGTTGAAGCATTTTAACAATCGTGATTTAGCTATTGTGGCTATTTGTTTGGACGAAGAAGATCGAAATAATGAAAAGAGTAGTGGGAAACGTGAATATTGGGTACATGATGCATGGAAAAGAAGACACGAAGAAGGGGAGTTTACCACACTTTTACCTCATCTGTTGGACGACGAGACGAAATTTTTTCATTACTTCAGAATGCCTATGCACACCTTCAATCAATTGGAACTTAAACTCAAAGAACATTTAACCAAGCAAAACACGTATTTTAGAAAAGCGATTACTCCTAGACACCGCTTGGCAGTATTTGTAAGGTAAGATACCATTTCATTTACACTGTGGTCTCTTGTCAAAAAACATCAGACATAATTTATTAGATAATGCATTGTAGTTGTGAAACAAGACTTTGTTCATAAGTCTTCATTAAGCATTTTAACTACCTACATATATATTGTGAAACAAATAAAAAAAGACAATAAATAACTATTATAAATGTAGGCCTATATACATATATAATATGTATGATTATAAAACATAATTTTCCTAACCATGATGCAAATTGCTACGTCAAATAAATTGTCAAAATTATTTTTTTCAAATAGTTTAAGAAAAGTTCAGAATATATTAGTTAAACCTTGTTTTATGACAATTATATTTCCAGATAAATTTGAAATCTTTAGTTCGATTTTAAAAAGGCATAACATGTACAAGAAAATTACCAAAAGAAATGTATTATCATTTAATTACAATTTCACAGTCCAAATATGAAATATGTTGTTAAAGCTGTAAAAAATCTACGTTAGTGCAGTAAGTTTCTTCAGTGTCAGCGGGATGTGTTGGTGTATGTTGAATACTTCTGGAGAAATGTGCGGGTCTATTTGAATGTGCATACAATCCCTCTTCTTCCGACATTGTAATAGACGTTTCAGAGGAAACATTGTTTGTATGAATCATTTCAGTTTGTTGGTTTTCAAGAAGCTGCTGTAATTCGTACTCTTGGACAATATTGAAGATCTTCCCTTTAGCTGAATGAAAACGAACTGGATGCAGTGATTTCAGACTTGTAGCGATTCCAGCCAAAAAAGCATCAACAGGGTGCTGTCCATCATTTTTACGTGACTCTTTTTTCTTCTCAGCTTCTTTCTCAGCCAATAAGTATGCCATTAGCTGAGATGATGGAGACTCTTGAGGTTTCACTTCAAGCTTCCTTTTGCGTTTTACAGATAGAGGTCTATGGTCGATGGAAACTCGACTGGCTGGAGTTGTANACCAAGTGCCTGAACTAACTCATGGTGCTGACATAACTCCAGTGGAGAAATCTCGCCTCCAGCACTTTCCACGTCGCAGAGGAGGGGAAAATCGTGAAGCATTTAATGTAAGAGAGCAGTTTAAACAATTCTTCAACTCTGAAGAGGGTAGTGTGGAGTGGCAAGAACGTCGGGCCCTCATAAGTTTATAAGTTTATTGTTTTCCAAGCTATGCATTTTTTCAAATTTGTATAATCTAGTATAATTATTAATAATATAATAATAATAAATGATATAATAAATAATAATATAATAATAATAATGATAATAATAATATAATAATAATAAATAATAATATAATAATAATAATAATAAATGTTCTTACCTTCTACATTCAATTCCTTCGCAACTTTTTTCCAGATAATGTCCTTGTAGTCAGAGTTTCTATACTGTTCTTGAGTTTGATCATACAAAACTGGAAAATTTCTTACACTTTCGATCAGTTCCTCCGGTTTTATAGCCGCCATTTTTCGCCAAGCGATGTCAGAAAACCATAGAACACAGAAAACTATACAAAAACAGCTAACGACAAGCGTCCCGCATCAAGTAAACGAATGGTCTGCACTGTCTGAGCGTGATCGGACAACGAATCGGAGACGGGTGGGAGTAGAACAGGTCACGTGACGGACAGGTGTGGCTTGCTGCATTCAAGGCCGTTGACTATTCTCCTCTCATACAGTCGTCCGGCCGTATGACCGTAGTCGGATCGGAACGCTGCATGACAGGTGTGTCCCAGCCTTAAATCGAAAAAAAGACTTCAATTATATATTAAGTGATTTCAGAGTTGTAAGACGCGTTACGCGATGCTAAGAATACATGGGGATAACTTTCGCAGTTTATTAAATATCATATAAAACAATAGTATTAGAATATTAGTGGTAGATTATGAATGGCTTTTTTTTAAAACTATTTTTCGTCTTATTATAATATGACAGAATAGCTAGTAATTTGTTACGCTTTATAAATGAGTATTTTTTAGCGGAAAATATATCAGGTTCAACTTCATTTCAGCTATCTCATTGTGTCACTTTAAAAAAGCACGTTTATTTATCCTTATTCACCAAGTTTAACTATGGAGTTATTCGTTACTAGTAATTTATTAAAAATAATACAATCCGAGATTGCAACACAAATGAGACTTTAAATGAATGTAAAGTCGTAGAGCGTATAGCAATCTATGCTTCAGAGGTAATGGTGAATCGCTTATTTCGTCTAAAAGAAACTGAGCCATAGAGGGGAAGAATAATTATTTTATATTCTCTCAGAAACGGTGCACCCAGTTTTCAGTATGAATGGTACAGAAAAATTACCGATTTTAGTTATTGGTAAATCAAAAAAAAAAAGAAAAAAAACTCGATCCTTTCGAAATGCTTTGTGACTATGACAGTAATCAAAAATCCTGGATGACAATTGCAATTTTTGAAGCCTATTTAAAAAAATAAAAAAAAAACGAAAGAAAAGTAAGATGCCGAAAGAAAAACGAAGCATCATAATTTTCGTAGACAACTGTGCTGCTCATTCCAAAGATAATAATTGCATTAACATCAGGATGTAGTTTTTACCACTTAATTCTACTTCTGTTTTTTAACCGACTGATCAAACACTAATCAAGATGTTTGAACAGCATTATAAAATGCGACTTGCGAATCGGATGCTGCAAGGACTTGAAAATGCTGAAGAGCTAAAAAAAAAAAAAGTCCACGTTTTAGAAGTGATTGAGTTTATTTTATCGGCTTGGGAATCAATGACGACACAATCTGTAATTGTTAATTGCTTTCAAAAAGTTGAATTCTCCGACGCAGATAGAACTGAAGAGTATGACTTTGAAACTGAAGGTGAAATGTCAGATGAAGATTAAAAAAACAAATGAAAATTTTGATAATGATTGGAAGTCGCTCCAATATAAACTTAATTTCAATGCATCGTTTAAAGAATATGTATCGCTCAACGACGAAATGTTACCTTGTGATGTGCTTACATTTTACATTAAAGGATATTTTTGATGTTGTAAATGACACAGAAGAATTGAGTGAAACTGAAGAAGATATTGCTAAACCTCCTAGTTTTTTTGATGCCAGAAAAGGGTTGAATACTTTTCGCAAATTAATTTACAGTGTTGAAAATGTGCCCCCCGAAATGTACAAGTACTTACAAGCAGTTGGAAAATTTTCCGTTAAAGGTCGGTGAAAAAAAACAAAAAACAAGCTACTTTTATTTGTATGTGAAAGCGATTACATAACTTAGTTTTTTCACCTTGCTTTTATTTTCTTGCGGGTCTAAAAACCATTTTTGTTTTTTAAATGACGAGTAAAAAATACTCTTTAGAGTTCTCTTATGCAGAACAGTATAACATTAGGTATTGTGTGAAAAATAATCAGGATCAAGAAACTTTGCTTTTGTGTTATATAAAAATTTAAATATTTTTGCCAAAAGTTTCTATATATTTTTTTTACTTATCAAAAGTGAACAAACATCTTCTTCATTTTTGTACGTTAAAAAATTATACATTTAACATTACGCGAAAAAAAATCAGGGCAAGAAACTTCATTTTTGTGCTTTAAAAAAATCTGGAATTATTCTTGCGAAAATAAATTTTCAATTTTTTAAAGACAGTACGAACACCCTCTTGATATTTCCGATGTTGAAGAGCATTATATTTAACGTTATGAAGGGGGGGGGGGACTAGAGAATTAAACGCTGTCCCTTTACATAAATTTTTTTTTGCAATTTACCAAATAAATTCCTCCTAAAAATTTGATAAAGCTTTTTATAAACGTATACAAATATCTTTAGCATTTTTAATTTAGTAACATTAGTCTTCAAATTTTTTTCTTTATAATCACACCGAAATTAGATCATACGATAAAGATATAGACATTTTAAATATTCACACCACCATATCTAGTTCAGCAATTTTTAAAATTCGAGCCAAATTTCAAAATTGCCCCCAAATTGTAATCTAAAAATTTTAATATAATAATTTAGCAACTTCACTTATAATTTAGCAGCTTAACTTTAGCATCGAGAACTTATCTAAAAAAAATTTCTTGAAAAATCTGTGACATGATCACAACGAGTTTTTATTTATTTCGGTCCATTTCACCTAAATTGTAAACATACAAAGAAAAGTAGATCTGACTCTTTTAGAATACTCAATAATTATACTATGAAACATAACGCCTACTAATATTTACTAAATTTCAAAGAATGTCAGTAAATAATTTGCGGTGGAACTATTTTCTCTTGTTTCATTTATTTAAATACTTCGTAAGTTTTTTAATTTATTTTTTAACCTAAAACCTTAACTTGCGATTCCAGATTGTTTAGACCTATATGCGATCTAGCAGAGATCGATGATGGCCGTCTACCTAAAAAAATTGAAGATACAGACAGATCTCTACAGTCTTTCTTACAAATTCTACTCTGTCGTCGGAACTACAGAGTAGGATGCCTGAGCGCTAAATTACGTCTCGAACAAATTACTAAATTAAATATAAGAAACAGAAAACTCAAAAAATATTTTTTGTTTTAATTTCTGGTACAATTGTTTTCTCATGCTTTTAATGTTTATAAATACATACATGCCAACTTTTAATCCCTTCCATTATGATTTTTCCCAGTGGTATTAAAATGGATTAAAAATTTCAATTTTAAGCAAAAAAATACGTTGTATTTGTAAAAGCTTAAGCTGCCTACCATAAAAGTAACACATATTAATATATATGCTTGGTGGTGATGAAAATCATTTAAAAATTTAGTTCCTAAAAGAGAAAATAGTATATATTTACTACCACTTTAAATATAAAAATTAAATTTTACGCCAAATGCGCAAAAGTTGGCAGGTAAGTAAATATAATTACACTCGCGAACAAATTTATTGCATTTATGCAAATATTTGATCCTACCTAATTCGTGACTCGTGCGAGAGCATTTTCTCCTCCAGTGTTATTTTATATCAAATGGTGTGTTAACTAAATTCCACCCCCCCCCCTAATTTTAACGAAATATAAAGGCGTAAATTTCTAAACACTTTTCAAACAGATACAATCAAAGCACTTGACCAGAACCTGACTAAAGCAGGGGCAAACAGGCGATTGCCCCTGGCCCCCACATCAGAGGGAAAGGGGCAAATCAAATAGAAAGTTAATTTTACGTTTCCTTCCTTAGTAAACATTTTTTAGAACTAAATATCACTACAGTGAAAACTATATACTTGCCAACTCTTCCGGATTTTCCGGAAGATTTTATTTTCATATTTAAAGTGGTAGCAATACTCAGGTTATTCCAATAAACTTTTTGAATTATAATGATAATTATAAATGAGTTTGACCACCACTACATATAAATAATTACAATAAATATGTATCAAAGCAAAATAATCCTTGCGCAAACGATTTTCAACGGGATCAAAATATAAATATATTTTTGAGTCACACTGTTTTTCGTTTATTGTTTTACAACCACTCTGAAAATCCATTATCGGAAAGAGTGAAAGTTGGCAGGTATGAAAATATGTCTGTTTTATGTTTGTTTTTTCATTAATCTATATTTCGCAAATCCATGGCTCTCTAGAGGCGGAATTCGACTGAATTTTTGTAATTAAGATGGACAAATTCGGTCAATCGAAATTCTGTATTTTTACAAATCGCAAAATGCGATATGTTTTCAAAAATACCGGCTTCTGATCGGCTTTGAGGCAACGTTTTTTCTGACTTCCTCCCTAATGTCATCAAGGACATGAATCTTTCGCAGCTAGATGGCAAAGTTTACAATCAGAGAACTGCATTCGGCATAATGGACAGAATTGTCAAAAATACAATAAAATGGACAGAACAATATAGCGTCTGACCATTAGGGGAAAGGAGCACTTTATAGTTATTTTAGGTATTAGTCAATTTTCTTGTTATATATGTATTATGAGGTGAAAATTTTAAATACCTCCATAAAGTCCGGTTCTTCATTACTGAAGTAGTAAAGCAGGAAGGGGGCCCTAAAGAAGTGTTTGCCCCGGGCCACAATTAGGCTAAGTAGGGCTCTGAACTTGACCCAAGTGATACAGATAAAAAGACAGTGGGACTGTGTAATTTTCACGCATACTGTTTAAGTCATAAAAGAATGTTTAGAGGGATTAATTTTCAGAATAAAATGTATTTGAAAATAATGTAAAATAAATACTTTTTCTATTGAGATTTCTTAAATATCTTTACAAATATTGCCTTTTTGATGAAACTAATTCCTTTTCATTACAACAACAAAGGATTTGTGCTTGAAATTTAAATAAATATGGAAAATTATCAGAATATGTTTTTTTTTCTTTTTCATTTACAAATGACTTTTTCTAGTCACTCATGCATAATTAAACTCGGGAACTTGAACTGGTAAGTATTTGACATTGCATATTTCGTTTGTGAGGCTTGTATAAATACAAATGTATATCGAAATTATTTTTTGTTCAGTTTTTTGGCTA